TGCACCATTAGTTGTTCGATATCCTCATCTAGACCACATCAGACCAAGTCTAGCTAAAAAACCACTTTACCTAGGCTTGTCAAACTGAACTACATTAGCCTAGAGAAGCTAAAGACTATGCAAAGCTCAATCTGAAAACGGTAAGACCTTTATTTATGAAAAGGTGGACACACTGGACTAGGCATACTAGATCATCCTTACAAAAGCTATAAACTGTTCAAAAATATTTCAGGTTTGTAAAACCGATATTCTATTTCAGAAACGCAGTTTTAATGCATAAACAATAACGATTCGTAGCTTTGAAATAGCAGAAAACAGCTGGGGCTTCTGGGTAATCTAATGTATTAGTTTCATTGCGCCACTGTGTAGCTCCCACGCCGCGAATTAAAGAGCAATCGTGTCGTGGTCGTAATTGGACACACTACCCATTTTCTGTCCGAGGAACGTCATGTTGTGATAGGCCTTCTCCGCGACGGCCAGGTGAGCCAGAGCAGCTAACAGAGCGGCCCAGGTGGCCCCGGCGCTTTTGCTGTTGTCCTTCTCCTTCTCCACGTAGTCCTTGGCCCGGTCAAAAGAAAACATGCCGAGCTGCGTGAAGAAGCTCTCCAGGATAGCCCGCTCCCGGGGAACGGGCCGCAGCTCCTCCGTCATGGGGCCAGCTGCCTGTCAGTGCAAGCTAATGGCTAGCTAACCGTGTTAGCAAAATGGCAGTCTAAGGTCTAGGTAGGAAAACATTACTCTTTCTACATGTCTATTGATTTAAACCTGTTTGGCATTATTTTAGAACGTTTCTCTTAATAATGATGCAGACAAGTGGTTTAAATACTAAACCTGCAACGACAATAATTTTAAAATGGTCCCTGAATGTAGCTAACCCCCGCAACCTGCAACGACAATGGTCCCTGAATGTAGCTAACCCCCGACGCCATATTAATTACGTCGTAGGTAAACACTACGGAAAATAAAGAGGACCAAAATAAAGACGGTTGGCAGCGTTTGCAGTAATGATAGAAATAGAAAGGGTATTGTTGTTACAGTGTTATTGCAAATATGTCTGTCATGTGCACATTTTGGCAAAATAATTTGTAAATGTACGCTGAGAATTAATGCATACACATAAAACACCTACGGATTTGTGTACTATTTAGTCATTTTAGGTTCGTGTACACATTTATAAATTATGTATATATTTACCTTTTCAGTACGAATTTACAATTCTCAGAACAGTTAGCAATGACATTGTAAGTGAGCATGTTAGTTAGCTCTAAGCAGATTGTCACAGAAAGAAAATGGATGCACACTTAGTTTTTCTGCTGATTAAATTTCTTAAATGATTGCATCATTAAAAGTGTGATTCCAGTGAAATTGTAAAATGATTTTCAATTGATCAGCTCAGTCCTAAATGGGCCCTACATTGGTGAGCCCCAGATAATTCCTCTAGCACCTCCAGCAGTTTGACATGATTGGTTTTTGTATTAATAGCTTTAACTGGAGGATTGCCCTGAAGTTTATTGTAGACAGTTGTGTCTTCAGGATGAATAGTAATAACATTGCCCATTCCTTGACTTTTCATTTAGCTCCGCCATCAGGGCACAACACCAAATAACAAAACACCCACAAAACTAATGAAATTTGACAATTATTATTTAGGTAGCATTCGACAACTACACTTCCCATGAATCTTTGACATTGTCTGCTATCAAAACTCTCTCTCTTTCTCTCTGTCTCTCTCTGCATCTCCAGGGGTGGATCTCTGCTCTCCTTAAAAAGTGCCAGCTGCTTCAAAATAAGCACAAACCACTTTTACTCTCATTTGCCTCCACTCCACTCTACTTGGTAGGTGACACCATCTCTTCCTTGTGTGTGTGTGTGTGTGTGTGATTTGCAATGGTTTTAGTAAATGTCTCACATTTTTAATAATATTTTTGTTGTTGTTTTTTACACTAAATATTATAATATAGTGTGTTATGTTATGGTATTCTAATCAAAGAGAAGTTTCCCAAAATGTCCACTTCCACTCAAAATGTATTAAGGAAAAATGTTAGTGTGGTTATATTTTAAAGCCTCATTTTAAATGTTTAAAGTGGATATGTACAGTACAGTTGGTGGTGGCTTTTCCAAGGTTAATGAAAATAATATCAAAGTCTGTATCAAAAGCTGTGCCAATAGTAAACTGGAGGAAAGGTCAGAGGATTCCCAAAGTAAGTAGGTCAGGGTAGCATCAGTGTTATTACAGTACATCATCTGGGTACCAAGAGTGACTGTTCTAAATTTCATAGCAATCCATCCAAGTTTTATTGAAATAGTTCAGTTTGGACCAAAGTGGTGGACTGACTGTCATGTACTGCCATGACTAAAAACCATATGCAACAAACCTTAAAGAACTAATACATTTATCATTTGTGTAGCAACACTGGTGTGCTCTTTTACAGAGAACAGCTATTACCTTGATATCATCTTGATTTACTCTGCAGATTTCCTTCAGGGGAATAAGTGATCAAATGTACATGGAAACTTCTCAACCTCTTCTACTCCATCCTCTGAACTACTGTCCATCTGTATTTTGTATCTGTATGTTGCATTTCCCCTCAAAAATCACACTGTTGTGATGCAGGGCACATTATAAAAACTCTTAGATGATGTCATGATGAGATGATCTGATAAAGGATTTATGATGTGGAAGAAGACAGCTTTGTGGACAGCTAGAGACAGAACTCTGTTCTCTGCTGCTTTCAGGGAGAAAGATGTTTTTTTCACATTTTTGTTTTCACATGGTTATGGATTATAGGCGGCATCCTGTGCACAGCTATCGGACAGTTTCCATGTAATCATTTTGGACTGGTCAGTTAGCAGATAATGCAAATATAAGTGTAGAGTTAGCATTATAACACTGAGGCTGAGTCCTGTCTCTTTTAGACCAAGTACTGCATATATTATTACATATTTAAACTATGCATAAATTTGAGATATGGGATCCAGTACAGAACCGAGGCAACCATCACACTGATGGCTCTAACCATCAGGGGCAACTTGGGGGTTCAGTGTCTTGCCCATGAATGACCGCTCTACCCACTGAATCACAGTCACCCATGATGGCAAAACCATCCTGGTGTAACACTATTAATGTCTGCGATTTCCATCAGCGGTCTTCATTCTTCCGGGGTCTTTCTTGCTACAAACCGATCGACATCGCTGGCCATAATTGAACTGATGGAGGATATTACTAGTGCTATGGATGGGAAGAAACACACATTGGGAATATTTATTGACCTAAAAAAAGCATTTGGTACAATTAATCATGAAATATTAATTGATAAATTTGAAATATATGGGATTGGGAATGTTTCTGAAATGGAATAGAAGTTATTTGACACATAGATGTCAATTTGTGAAGTTGGGTGAATATCAGTCGAATGTTTTGGACATTGTATGTGGAGTCCCCCAAGGTTCAGTTCTGGGTCCTAAACTGTTTATATCATATATCAATGACATATGTAAAGTATCTGAATTATTGAAATTTATTTTATATGCTGATGACACTACTATATGGGCATCTGGTGAGAATTTACAGCAACTTTTTGGATTGATTACTCAGGAAATTGATAAGATAAAAAAATGGTGTGATAGAAATATATTATCTCTAAATTTGCATAAGACCAAATTTATGGTATTTGGTAATTGACGGCTGGATAATCAACTGCATTTAAGGGTAGGGGGAGTTAATATAGAAAGAGTGGATGAAATCAAATTTCTAGGTGGTATAGTTGATGATAAAATTTGCTGGAAATCTCACATCAAAAATATACAAAACAAAATGGCCAAAAGTATTTCTATACTGGCAAGGGTTAAACATATTCTGGATTGGAAAACACTCCATATTCTGTATTGTTCATTGATTTTACCATATTTAGATTATTGTGTTGAAAGCTGGGGAAATACATACAAAAGTACACTTCAGGTACTGTACATATTGCAAAAAAGGGCAATAAGAATTGTACATAAACTTGGATATCAGGACCACACTAATGCATCATTCATACAGTAAGTTGTTAAAAATTTTTTGATTTAGTGGAATATAAAACCGCGGTGTTCATGTATAAAGCTAGGAACAATTTATTACCAGGTGTAATTCAAAAATTGTTTAATGAAAGAGAAGGGGGATATAATTTAAGGGGTCAGTTAAATTTAAAAATTCATGCTATAAGTACAACTAAAAAAAGATTTTGTATTTCTATAAGTGGTGTAAAATTGTGGAATAAGCTAAGGGAAGACTTAAAATATTGTACTAGCATAGAACTGTTTAAATATAAATACAAAAGGGTTTGTAATGCAAGATATATGAATGAGGAGGCGTGATGGCGGATTAGACTGGAGTATTGTTGGTGTGGTGTATGAAGATAATATTTTATGTATAGACACTGAATATAAACTTGTGACACCGGAGAAAGTTCCAGACAGGTGGTGTGAAAGGGAATTTAGTTTTGTATTGAGAAACTTAGCAATGTGCTTTTGGAACAGTTATTATAGGAAGTATTGCGTGTAGGATGAAGAGTATGATGAAGTGAGGGTATTATAATGGGATGAGATAGACCGTGCGGTAGTTGGCTTGACGCCAGACGTTGGGTGGATGGCGTGGCTGGTCTATGTTTAATTTAAGGGGCTGGTCGATGAGGAAATTGGTTTGTTTGGTATGTACAATGGATAGGGTGGTGATAGGATGGATATATGGTGGTTGTTGGGGACTGGCACTGCTGTGGGTCTGAGTGTCCGGTGTTGGGCTAATGGTACCACGGTCTAAGACAGGGGGTAGGACTAGATAAGTGTATACTTCTTCCTACTCCCTTTCAAGCATGTACTATTGGAATGTTGTGATGTCTTATGTGTATTGGTTGAAATGTCGAATCAATTTTGTTTTTCGCAATATCAGTTTTCTTAGTTTTACATGCTTGGAAGAAACTTAAATTAAAAAAAACAACAACAACAAAAAACCCACAGACAAACAGGAGGAAGAAGCTCACAGGCTTCGTTGGTGGTTTAGAAGTGAATACAACCCCTGCAGTAAACATACATGAAGACATCCCTGTGTTAAAATGTTAATGCATGGTTACCCTTTATTCCACCAACTTAAAACATAGGCACGTGCGTGGCAGATATCAGCTGGTAAACGCTTTGTTTAGCCATCTAACAATTACTATTGTTCCAAATGTGTCTCAGTAAACCAAAATCAACTAAAAACAACAAACCTTCTGGAAAAGGCTCTGAAATAAACACTGTGGTCAGGGGGAACCTTCTGATACCTGAAGAATATTTTGTTTGTGATGCTATGGTACTTCATGTTAGTAGAATTCATAAATCAGGACCTTTACTTGTATTAGTACATTGTGGTACAGCAATTTGTACTTAATTACAGTGGTGGGAAAACTACCTAATATCTTTTTACATGTAAAAAGTAGTGATTCCACCAGAATAATCTTTTACAAGATAAACTTGGGCATTAAAAACTTTAGCAGAAATACATTTCTATGTGTGAAGGCGGAGCTGTTTTAGTTGCTTTATATACTGGTGGTAGCTTGTGACTGTAACCTGTAATAATACATGGTAATATATTTATTTTGTATTAATAATCTGAATCTGCAAAGTAACTGAAGTATAAGAGGTACAGTACTTGAGTAAATGCATCTAGTTACTTTCCACCACTGCTTAAATAAAAATGTGAGTATTTCATCAACTGCTGCATTTTCTCTTTGGTCACTGAGCAAAACAGTTGCAGACTTTTCAAATATTTGTTGCAGTACTACAACATTTAAAGAAAAATACATTTCAAGTCAGACTTCTCACATTTACCTTTTTATTTAAAAAAGCTTGGATATTCCAGTGTTCGTTTCCCATTTTCTACCAAAAGCAGGTGGCGAGATGACACTCCAGATTGTCATCCATTTTGAACCTCAGCAACATATAGTGTGATCACAAACATCTCAAACAAACGAGCTGGACTCTTCAAAACAAGGGAAATATTATGTCTGTGATTCTATGCATATCCACGATTGACAGGAAGGGGAGCAGTCACCATTTACTCACATTTTCACATTGCTCTGCCAAAGTCCTAATAAAACAGTAAAAACAGAATCTAACTGCACACTACACACATCACAGACAAATCACTACAATTCCAATGAACATTTATTGTTGCAAATGTTATAAATATATGCATTGCATGCTATACATTTAAGAGTGAGTGCGAAGCCTCATTTTCTGCAGTGTCCATTGCAACCTGAGATAAGAGTGATGGAAACAGCTGCCTTACCAGTAGTGGATTGGGGCTTAAGTGTAAAGTTTGTCTTCTGAGTAAGCATGAACCTACATTAAAGGAATAGTTGTTTCTGACAGGATTCCAGGAACTTGTTACATTTGAGAATTAATACAGAATTAAAAAAAAAAAAGTTGCTCACTGATTGTCTTATCAATCGACTAATCAGTTACTCTGAAAATCAATGAAAGAAAACGATTTTGTGAAGCTGGAACCATAGAATGCTTGGCATTTTTATATGAAAATGTACTTAATAATGGAAACAGTGAACGATCTTCTTTCAGGTAACTTATTCTCATTATTCTATGTAATCTTTTTAATTGATTTAGACAAAAATGTATAATCTGTAAACTGTAATTAAAGTTATGAGATAAATATAGTGAAGTAAAAATTACAATAGTCTCTGACCTGTCGTGAAATAAAAGTATTACGTAAGAGAAAATGGAAATACTAAAGTGCCCCAGGTGTTTCTTTAAGATTGGTTGTTTGCGGAAGTTGGTCCGTCATCTAAATGCCTCCGTCTTGTTCGTCGTTTTATGCGAAGCCTTGCCAAGTAGTGTTTTCGTTTTATTTGGTGGCTGCGTATTAAACTATACGTTTAAGTTAGTGTAATTGTTAGAGAAAGGTGACTGCCTTCTGTTCACTTCTCAATAGAGAACGATACGTTGGTATGAACTAGAAATAAAGAGTTACATTTAGCTAACTCGACGGTCGATGTAGGGTAAAGGAGTCGGTACGGTAGCTAACTCACGATGGCTCCGGAGACAAGCGGTGAATTCACTTACACAATATATATATTTATGTATATATACATGCATAAATATTGGTTCACACTGAGTTAAATAACACACCGGTTTATGGCTGTTTTGTTTCTCATTTTTTGCCTGGGTTGTAAATAGTTTCACCTGTTACCCTGTGATATAGTAGGTGTCAGTGAAAGGTTAATAGGTTAAATTTTCTCAGGTTGGCGCTGTTAAAATGTTACATTTAGTTAAACGTGTTGTATAAGACATAGAGCACACTCTCAAGATAGGAAATGTCTGAACATTTGCTTGCTTATTTGATAATACATCAGTATTTATAGATGGACAGCCCCGAAGGAAACTTGCTGTGTTGAAGCAGCCACTTCATATAAATGACGCCGTGTTAAAAAATAAAATAAAATAAAATATTAAAGAATAAATAGGACAGAGACTAAAGACATAAACTATACATTGTATAGAAAGAAAGTCACTTTCGGCTTTTCTCGTTTAGGGGTCGCCACAGCGAATCGTCGCACTGAGACTCGCATGTTGACATTTGGCACGTGTTTTACACCGGATGCCGTTGCTGACGCAACCCTGATTCGAACCACTAGCCTACCAGGGACTATACAGTGTATAATGATAGTAATATAGAAGACACTGTTCATTAGTGTAAGGATGTTGGATCATTAACTGCATATATACTGTGTCTGAATACATGGCTATGAAAAGGCTAATGGTAAGGTGCAGGAGTTTCCACGGATGCTAAACAGAAATAACTGTATACTGGATTGGCTGTTATTTGCATCATATGGGGCAAATTACATATTTTGCTTTTTCTTGGGTGACAAGAACAAAATCCAGCTCCTGCAACAAACAGACATTCAGCTAAATTTTTTACCCAAAGGTGATGATTAAAATGTTATTATAACTGATCGAAATTTGAGAATGACGCCCACTGATCTGAGCACCTCCTGTTCTGCAGCCTGGGCTCTCTATCAGCATGGAATCTGAGGCCAACATGCTGATGAAGGAGTCCGTCAAGATGATGACTGATATGATCATTCTGTGTGCCACTCTGGCACTGTCCCTCTCCTTCTGGGTCCTCTCCCTCACCATCAGCACCTACTACGGTGAGCTGTCTGCATGGAGATCTCCCTTTTATATCTGAAGTCCAAAGAATGTTAACCCTGTGCTTTTAAGTTTAGTGTAACAATTTCAGCCCTCTTCCAGACTCAACCTTTTTTTCCTGTATAAAACCTGAAGCTTTTCCAAAATGACGTGTAAATCTTTATAAATGGTGACTTGGGGTTTCACTGTACTGGGCCATGCCAAGGGAGGTTTGTGTCACAGTGTCAGTTAAGATAAATCTTTATGTGATTGCTGTATAGTGCTTTTGTCAGACGATGTTGTGATTATAAAGTAGGCAACTGGTTTTCTCACAGCAGCTTCAAGTGGCTGCAGGCTAACATGTAGTGTTTATGGGCAGCAGTAAATCAGATGACGTGAGCTGGCTGGCTGTCAAGTCAAGAATCTTTGTCATTATACATAGCACAACGAAATTTTTTACCCGGCAACTCTCGGCTTAAAAGACAGACACATTATTTACATAACACACAATTGTATAAGTCAATATAAAAATATGAACAAATAAAAAGAGATGTATGGGACCTAATCAGGTCAGCAGCATGTTAGCAGCAAGAGTGTAGTAACATTTTAAGGTGCAGCTCAGTGCAAATCTCAGTCTTTTGGAAGAGGTGTGAGGTCCAGTGTTCTGTGTCTGTCCATATGGGGGAGGTTATGTGTGTGACTGGGGGTTAGGAGGGTGATTGATTTCACAGCTCTGGGGAAGAAGCTGTGTCTCAGTCTGTTTGTTTTAGTCTTTATATTCCTGTACCTTTT